TGTCAGACCGCCCAATATAATAAAGCCCAGTCGCCCTTTTGTCGCCATATCTAAGCCTCTGCCGCTTCTTTCTCCCCTTCACGACACCCACCACTACTTCGTTGATCCAGACTATTGCTTATTGCCCTCCTTCTTTTTCTCTCTCCTTTTCGACCCGCATTCTTCCTGCAGACCTCCTTTACACACTCTCACAACATCTGCTGGACGCCCTCTGCAACCCTCATCCCCTTCTACGCTTATTTTGGACACGGCTCCCGCTACAGTAGCGTTGGAGCCATTTGCAAGCCCTATCACAGAACATGGTTAAAGTTATTCCAAAAGACTTTATCCTCTCCACCAGTGGGACCCACGAGGACAAAAAGCGTAAACACACTCTAACGACACATATTTCGAATTCAACGGCCACTGGCTATAATAGTACACGCTGCTGACGGGCAAAATGGACCTCAGCTGCCGTGAATCGGAACGCCTAGCTGGGCTTTATGAAAATGGTGAGCAACCCTTGGGCTTTAAGCGTTTCTCGTTTGCCAAATGCATCATGGACAATTACCTGGTTCTTTCCACCGGTCCGTTCGCGCCCACGCAGCACTCGAGGTGGAATGGATGGTGCAAAAAAACCAACACGCTAAGGCAGAGACTGGCAAAACGCTCCATTCTATCCGTTATCATGGGTTTTGCCATTCTGGTGGTGCGTGTTTTGCAAGCAAGTCTGGTCATTTTGGTGTTTACCTCCACTGCATGGAACTCCTCCTCTGTTCGGAGCCGATCAAACAAGCATTTGTTACAGACCAGCGATGGGTCAGTCCAAGTGGGCTCCCGATCTTGCGCCAGGGCAACTTGGACGACGGTGTGTGCAGGGCCATTCTGTTCTCTATACCAATCCTCGGAACAGTGGATTTGTATGAAGAACCTGCAGCCTCGGAACGGAACGCACGCTCAACAACGAAGAACTGGGGTGTACAGGGACCTAAACCTATTCTGTCCTCATAACAGATCCCTCTCTGCTTACCACGCTGGCCCTGCATGGCCCCCAGATGGGCTCGCTAGCCTGGCTGGCTGGGTAACCTGGTCTGAGGGGGTTCGATTTGATATCTGAATCCAATTCTTCGTTATTCTTCTTGTCCAATCGGCATTTTCTTCACGCCGGTTATCCCTGCCCTACGCCCCCCCATTACCAACCTTGGCATCTAGGGCCCTTTGTTTTCTTTTCCCCCTTTCTTTGCAGTCGTGGAACCTTGGGGTGCCCTTTGTCTTCCTGTGGTGTCCGATGGGCAGGCCGTCCTGCCACCACCACCCTCCCCCGTGATCGACACCACGCTAGTGGGCGACACCTCGGTACGCGCATCGCCAGGAGACTGAACAGGTGTGTGCAGATTCGTTTTTCAGATACTTCAAATTCACTCCATTTATGCAGGGTTGGACACGATATTATCTCCCATTTTCTAGGCGTGTACACCGCTTATTAGCCACACAAAATATCCAATTGTACGTTAAAATACGAAAATAGGAATTCAATAAAGCCACCATAAAGCTCCGCTAATCCGCTAAGAACGATCGGCTCTCTTTCCGTACAAGCCCCCCCAGGCTCGGTCATTCACCCTAACTCTTCCCGCGGTCACCCGACCCGAAATGCCTCCAAGAGTCAAGGTCAACTTTCACTACGATATTGGGTCCTCCTACTCGTACTTTGCATATGAAATTCTTCTTCGCTATGAGAAACTCTGGAATATAGACTTGCAACTGACCCCGGTTCGTCGTTTTCCATTCCGAGCCAACCGTCAACAAGTCGAATGATGTCGGCTACTACCACCCTATTCCATACCGAACCTAGACTTGACCATGTCTTGCATCTTTAGATCCTCCTCGGCGGTGTGTACCAAATAACTGGGAATACCTCCCCCGAAGCGTCATCACGTTACAAGGCGACCTACACAGTAAGTAGAATGATCCACCCGAGTCAGGTCTTGTCATCTGTCTCACCATCACCAATCACCTCTACGTGACCATCGTCGACACGTTAATCTCGGTTGGGATAGAACAAGGATACACAGAGAGTATCACAGGAAATACAAGGTCCTTCCATCTATCACCTCGATGTTCCACTACTGACATGAAGTTCGCGACATGGACACGAACTACACTATGATCATTAGTGCCCTACAGTCATGGCCCAGAGTTTCCAGGTAACACCTTCATGGTGATGCGCATGCTTCGATACCTCAAGGACATTCTTCCTCCTGAAAAGTTCAAAGCAGCTACTCGACACTACTTTGTACGTGCTAGTTCATATTCTTGGGTAGTGTCGATTTGTTGACATTGTCGCCTACGACAGCGCGAAAACTTTGTCGTCAATACCGCACTCAGTTCTCCATCCTTCATAACTTCTCTTTCACCCTCCATCCTCTCACCTGAAGAGATGAAAGACGCCCTTATCAAGTTCAAGGATAAATCCGTCACCGATGCCATGAAAGCTGAAGCGGCCGCTCTCGTCCAAGACTTTGGGGCGTTCGGATTTCCTTGGATCGTGGTTACCAGAAACCCTACTGCTATCAATCCTACAGCGAACGGCGAAAACACTACTTGGTTCTTTGGGTCCGATAGGTTTTCAAATATTGCTTGGTGGTGCGTACAATCAGGTCATGCCTTCACCCGATCCTTATAATGCTTCTTACATATCGTCTCTGTATTGTGGAATAGGCTCGGATCTGAATACCTTTGGTTGGGACCAGTACCGTCCAAAGCCAACCTTTAAATAGGGTAGTCAATGTCTCGGAATGTCGAATCATAACAGTTAAATGACCTCACTGATGTACCAGAAGTTAAACCCATTCAATCCAATGATAATAAACGGCAGTATCTCAATATCGTGCATTAAAAGGTATCACCCTTGACATGACTCAGTTGACCCCTTGAGGCAAGTCGGCACCAAACTCGGACAATAGTATGACTCGTGTAGACTGAGACCGGTTTCGAGGCTCTGAGAGTGTTTCGAGGTATCGAAAGTCGTGTATCTTCCCATTCTTCACATGTCCAGTAACTAGTGGCACAAGATGTCCAATCGTACGTTTAAACTCAGAAATGGAAATCGAACACCCCTAATCATCCCAAAGCTCCGCTAATAATGATCAATTCTTTTCTGTCTCATGTAAGCTATATACCCGGGCTCGGTCATTCAACCCAAACTCTTACTACAACCACTCCACTCAACAAAATGCCCCCCAGAGTCAAGATCAACTTTCATTACGATATCGGATCTTCCTACTCCTATATTGCGTACGAAATTCTTCTTCGTTACGAAAAGCTCTGGAATGTGGACCTGCAACTGACCCCAGTTCGTCTCTTTCTATTTTGAGTCAACCGTCCATAGTCGAAGGATGTCGGCTACCACCGCTCTCCTCTATTCTTGGTATCGAGCTCGGCATTGACCATGTTTTATGCTTCTAGATACTCCTCGGAGGCGTCTTCCAATTAACCGGGAACACCTCCCCAGCCGCGTCGGCGTACAAGGCAGCCCACATGGTGAGCAGAGACCTTCATTGGGACAGACTCCTTCATCCATTCCCGACGACACGCACAACCCTTTTATGACGAATGTCCATATGTTGAATGCGAACACATAGTTGAACGACTTGCGTCGAGTTTCAGCAGAAACCCAAGGTCCGTCTCTATCTCTCACTTAATTGTAGTTGACTGATACGGTATATGAAATGAAATGATCAGTTCCACTCAGCCCAGGTCCAGAGTTCCCGGGCAACACCTTTTTGGTGATGCGCATGCTGCGATACCTCAAGGACGTTCTTCCCCCTGAGAAGTTTAAGGCAGCTACTACGCACTATTTCGTAAGTAATAGAGCTTGTAAATTTAGGCTATCTTCTGACATTGTCATTGTTATGGGATCTGTTGTACAGCGTGAAAACTTTGTCGTGAATACCGCACTCAGCTCTCCATCCTTTATAACATCTCTCCCTTCCTCTATTCTCTCAAAGCAAGAGATGGAGGAGGCGCTACTCAAGTTCAAGGACAAGTCTGTCTCCAATGCCATGAAGGCCGAGTCGACTGCCCTTGTCCAAGAATATGGTGCATTTGGGTTCCCTTGGATCGTTGTTACTAGGAATCCTACTGCTATCAACCCTGCAGCTGATGGTGATAGCACTGCATGTTTCTTTGGATCAGATAGGTTTGCAAATATTGCCTGGTGGTGCGTCTTGTTCAGTCACATTCTCACCCATTCGCCTCATTCATTACTTCTGTATCATGAAACAGGCTCGGACCAGAATACCCTTGGTTGGGACCAGTACCTTCCAAGGCTAATCTCTGAACTAGGCATCGAAATTTCTTCAGAAACGCTTATCAAGGATTGTGAAACAAATCTGTCCATGTGCCAAAGCTATTCTATACAGTTTTGTGAAAATGAATTACAAGGTTTACATATTCACATTATGAGACATTAGAATTCATTTTATTTGATGAGCCCTTGAAGGTCTCTTCGAGAGACTACTAGTACGAGCGAGGTGTAAATTGGCATCTGAAATCAAGTGGACGTCTGGGATATACGACAGGAACAGAAGGAGTGACAAAAGCCGCAGTATAATACGACGGAGTGCAGGCTCAAACACTTACCTGATAGCAGAATCTTGCCAAGTCATTGTATCCGGCATGGTATCACCAGAAATAAGACCAACGTCATAAACGGCCAAGATGGATGTAAGGAGTACACTTCCCAGGCGTTCGGCCATCCACCGACCGGGACAGATCCTACCCAGTGTTACATTAGTATGGTGCATCCGGGGATACCGCGGCCTAAAAAATGACGTACCGCTTTCCAAAGCCAAAGGGAATCATAGAGATGTCTGGCAAATCCTTTGCACTCTCCTCTAAAAATCTCTCGGGCCGGAATACGTCTGCATCGTCGCCCCAAATCCTGGGATCCCTAAGCATAAATCTGATGACACTGATAAGTGAAAGCTCTCATTGTCGCGAGACATGCTATCTTACCCAATATTACAGTTGACCATAGTTCCTTTGGGTATGAAGTATCCATTCCAAGAATCATCTTGAGACGCGACGTGGGGGACCCCCAATGGGACTGGAGGATCAAGACGGAGAGATTCTTTCCAGGCTGCTTGAAAATAGCTCAATTTTTGTGCCTCTGCAGTCGTGGGTAAACGACCCCGGCCAATACTATCGTCGATTTCTTTCTGGATTTTACGCTGGATATTGGGATGTAGGACCATGTTATAGAGGAAGACGTGACATGCAGTAGACGTCGTATCAACGCCACCTAAATTGGTGAAAGGCTGGTTATAAATATTTTCACTCGGACAAAGTAGACAAACCCCACCTCCATAGAGTAGTGCCACGGCGTCTCGCAAATTCTCATTGGTAAACTCGGGAGAATTGAATAAACCAGAAATAAACGAGGGATCTGCCTCATTTTTTGCCTGAAACCCAATTTTTTTCAATATCAGCATTGGCAGAATCGAGATAGGGGCCTTCTCACCATATCTTGGAGAACTAATTCATAGGGCCAATCGCGGATTCTTTGGGTCATTTGCTTGCCCTTTCGAGCTACTTCGTGGAATCCTGCTCCAGGGAACCATGCAGGGATGTATCTCACTACAAGAGGTTCCAGTGTGTCAACTTTGATCGTGTCGTCTGAAGTTAGATAATACGACATACACCAAGGAAAAACGGTGACAGCATAAAAAGTTGTGAAGATAGGTGTTGTATGGCGCATGTTTCTTACATTCAAGTCTGCCAGTTCTGTACCGTATTCACGATGGAGTTTGTCTCCATACCCCAGTATGAGGACGATAGCAGAAACAACGCTATGTAAAGCGATGAATACTCTGAGCATTGACCTATACTTGTCTCGAGAACTCACCGCTCTATTTGATGCATTGGGTCGCCCGAAAACCCTATGAGAGAGGATACCGTTCGGTCCACCTCCCTTTCAGTCAAGAGATCGTATTGGGAAATAACTTGAGGACCAATAGCCTTTCTGAAAACCTTTCTTTGTTCATTGAACTCCTTTCCTGGCTGGCGCATTAAGATACTCCAACCAAAGTCCATTCTACCCAAGGGGTGGTATTAGCTCTGACAGTAAAAAAAAAATAGGCATATCACGGCTCATATAGACTCACAAGACAGTAACCATCATATGCACGGGTCGAGAACTGTAGATATTCGATCGTTTATTTGTCAATTCTTCTGCATCGGCCAGAGAGTTCAATATAAGGAAGGGTTGGCCCATCAGATCAACATAAATCACATCTCCTAGAATCCGAGATCAGTATTCGTTGAAAGACGATACTGATATGATAAGGCTGAATATGGTCTAACTTGATACTTACCATACGCCTTGTGCCATTCGGTGAACGTTTCATACCATCGATTCGGAGGAAAGTCAAGTACATTCCCAATAATAGGTAGAGGCTTTGGTCCGGGAGGACTGACCAAACCTCTGCGTCGAAGGCTTGTCCGATACCGCGAGTAGAGATAGAGAAGCAAAGAACCCGCCAACCCACAGACGAGCGTATCCTGTGTGTTCAACATCGTTCTTGATCCAGGATGAACGCCTCAACGTTGACGAGTTCAAGGTTTGAGCCTTTGATCTTTTAGTTCAGGTACCAGAACTACCTCTAGTAAGAGGATGTAATTTAGCCATGATCCATTCGTCTGGCCCTGCTAAGTCGATTCGGTTGAACCTATGGGGTCATTGAATAGAGGACGACAAGTTAGGTGGGGGCTTCCCCACCGGGTACTTCCTATCACAGGCATCCAGAACCTACTCGGGCACTCAACGATCGCAAAGTTTGTGGTATGAGAGGATCGGAATAGCAAGGTCTATATCCTCATAGTACACGCTGCTATCGAACGAAACTAGGGGTACATAGACGGACAGAACTGGCAGACTTGAATGTAAGAAACATGCGCCATACAACACCTATCTTCA